CAAGTACAGCGGCTACAATGTTAAAGGAACACTCCGACTTTTTGGGACTTTAGCCTATTCACCTTACCCCCCAGAGTTAGATAAGTCCATACATACCTTTTTCATCTCCGTGCGTGCTATAAGTCTGTTTGACGCACCCACCGCTAGCCTAGCTTAGCACAAAGACTCGATGTGACTGGTTGCAGCTTTCATACTGATCCAAATGAGTGGCAAAATAACGCAAACGTTTTCCTATTTACATGTTGTGATTTGTATAGTCACAGAATGTACAAATAACAAAGTCAAATGAGACACAGACATCTTTTAACCGTATAAAACCTGGGAACTATTCTCTGAAGGCGAAGCACTGCTACTTTGACGGCGTAATAACCGCATCACCGGAGACACGCTGTGGTGAGGAGCGGAGAGTTCGCTCAGTGTTTGGGTAACAGAGTCAGCAATTTATAAATAGTAAAAGCGTAGTTTAGAGTCATGGGTTTTCGCTCTATTGTAAATAGCTGCGACTGTAAACACGGGAGGTAACCATGTTTCACAGAATTCCAACTAAAAACGCTGACTGGATGAAGAAATGGCTAACTTACTCTGGATATTTATCCAAACACACCTAAGATTATCAAGGGACATTATGTTTGCTCGGTACATTTCAATGAGGACGACTTTTTTGAAAAAATGGAATTTGCCACACGGACCATAATGTGCTGAAGGATACGGCCATCCCATCGATAGCACGTAACGTTACAGGACAAGTGGATCACCTGCGGCTGAGGTAAGTGTTCCGTTATGTTTTTAGATGACCTACTGTAACAGTGCCTTTAGCCAGAGCTAATGTAACGTTAGTGACACTATTATATGATTAGGGTATGAATATGTTTTTATCTTGATGCGGTGCGGACGCGCTTGGGAAAAAAAAATGAGCGCGTTCACCGCGTTGTAGCCTAAATAGTAGCCTAGTAGCCTAAATTTGAAATAACCATGGAAATAACGAACTTGAGCGTGCAAAAGGGTACGATAGGCTGTGAGTTCATTGTGCAAAAACAATTTGTGCTATTACTTTCCCCTTATTCTATCCTATGGTAATGCAATACTGTATATTATATAGTCTTCTGTTGAATACATTTGGTTCAGCTAATAAATTGCATTTAAAATATATTGATTCCTGTAATAATAATTATTTATTCATGTGATATTTATAAATCTGGGTGCGTTTTTGGTTGGAAATCAATGAAACATGGTACTGTATTACCTGGTCTCCCCTGTTTATTGTCACAGCTCATACAATAAAGCAAACACCCATGATAAACTGCTTTTCTATCTAACGTTAGTAATTGCTGACTCTTTATTCCAACACTGAGCGAAGCGAACTCTCTGCTCCTCGTCACGGTGCGTCTCAGGTGATTGTTATCACTCTGCCCAAGTAGCAGTGCTTCCCCTTCAGAAAATATAGTATTTATACGGTCAAAAGATGTCTGTGTCTCATATGGCCTTGATATTTGCACACTCTGTGACTATACAAACCACAACATGTAAATAGGAAAACGTTTGCGTTATTTTGTCACTCATTTGGATTAGTATGAAAGCTGCAACCATTCACATCCAGTCTTTGTGCTAAGCTAGGCTAGCGGTGGGTGCGTCAAACAGACTTATAGCACGCACGGAGATGAAAAAGGTATGTATGGACTTATCTAACTCTGGGGGGTAAGGTGAATAGGCTAAAGTCCCAAAAAGTCGGAGTGTTCCTTTAACCTTGAATTTATCTGCGGACTCAGCTCTCAATGAGAAGAGGCAAATTATGTCGGACACTTCAAATAAATAAACAGTTAATAAACTCGCTAATAAACAGCTACCCATTTAAGCTTCAAGAACGGTAAAACATAAAAGCTGTCGGCCAACAGCATGTGATGTTCGATCTCGTGTTGTTTGGAGTTCCATGAGATTGAGGATGATGCTTTAACCACAGAGCTACCGTTAGACTGCTAATTCATCATTGTCAAACGTTTGTAAAGCCTCATTGATGTAGCCTAATATGTTTCTACTGCAATGTTTTAAGGTTTCATTACTTTTTTCAATTTAATTTCAGTATTGTGATTAATTAATTAATTTAACTACGTTTCACTTGAATTAATCTGCTACCAACTTTAAAACGCTCTGAATGAGTCACGGCGCAGCTGTAGATTACACAAAAAATGGACACTTTTCAAAGCCTGTGATTGTAGCGCCTCTTAGCGGCAAAAGGGAGCAAATACATCTAAAATTTTACCGCCGCGGCAGAACTGCGGTTTTCTACCACGTTCTGGTTTTCTACCTACTGTATTAATGTGTCCCCCAAATACACCTTTGGGTTTGACTTTTGGGTCCCAGAGTACTTATTGACGTGATTAACAGTCTGAAATAGTCTATCTATTAGGGCTGTCAATATTCCTCTATAATACTAATCGAATTCCATTCCATATTTTATCTAATATTCAAATAATATTTGAATATTAAATGCTCAAATTCATTCTATTATTAATATTTACGACATTACACATTCTTATGGATCGCCAATGCCACTATAGCTTGTGGTTGTTGTTACACGTTCTGCCCACTAGAGGGACATCTAACATTACTACAATGAGCATTTAGATCGCTTTCTTATTAACAATAAAAAAGCGGAACACACACAAGTTCATCGATATTAACTACCAGCTATACAGCGTGCAAACCTTGAAATTACAGCTGTAGTCTAATAATAACTTAGCTCACCTTATTAGATAGGCTCCTTGCATGCTGGCTAATAACTTTTTTTAAAGCTGGTTCTCGACATTGACAGCGCTGTGTTGGACTGATTTGTGCAGCGGTGTTCCAAAGAGCAACATGATCAGGACTTTTGCGTCAACATGCACGCCACTTTCAAGTCAAGTGGCATGTTATCTATACAAATTTTGAGCCATTTCGTGAGATCAGTCTGTAAATGGAGAGAGAGCGCGCGGGACTGGCTTTCGCGCGGCACTCGCAAGGTCTCGTTCTCTCCCTCTCTGCCATGCACGCGCTGCAGTATGTTCTTTCTCGCTCTAGATTCCGGGAGATTTTAACTAATTTGCGGACATCAGGGAGACGCTATCAATATGCGGGAGACTCCCGGATCTTCCCGGATGTCTGTATGGGAAACCCTGATGATAGCCTAACAGATGATGGATAACGTGCACAATTGTGTTACGATTCAAAAACTTTATTGTTCATTAGACGAAACAAAAGCATTTCATTTTCAAATGCGTTTAAGCCGCGAGAAAGATTGCATATATAGATATATATTTTTTAAATATATATAAAAGCAATAGGGCTTGGTAATAAATATCGATTTCTCGATATTAATCGATTCTCATTTTTACGAACCGATATCGATTCTTAAGTCTCAAGAATCGATTAGTCATCCTGTTTCATTTGAATGAATGGGACATTGTATCGCGGCTGCGCGCATTCAAAAAATCGCAATAATCTTTGTCCTTTGTTACTATTGATATGAAACAAAGTCTCAATTTTCAAATTACGTCCATTTTCTTTAGAATTTCAAAAACATAAATAACGTTTTGGCACTGTGGCCTGAGATCGCTCTGGCGCAGCTCCAGAGAAGCAGCAGCGCTGATCTCTCTTCCGGGTTAATAATACCGGTCACAGCGCGAAATAAACATGAAGGAGCATCTGAAAGTGTGTTAAAAGATAGAGTACAACTTATCGAAATCCGTATCATGTCACATTCATTCGCTCAATCAGCGTTTCAACCGTGAAAAGACGTCAGTTAAACAGCTTGTAATCAATGTCTTGTCATGTATCGTCATATTTACCTCAGAAGACCCACATCAACTCGTTAGTCAGATAGAAAAAAATAACTCCAGAGAGGAGCATTTTGCTAAATATTTACACTATATTACATATGCATTATAATCTTAAAGTTCTTCAATATTTAATGCATATTTTAATAAATCTGGCAAGTTTTTGACAGCCACCATTTAAATGTTTATATTTCATGTAATCTTCTTATTATAAAAATAAATAAAAGTGTAATTTAAGTGATTCATTCATTATTACCTTCATATTTGAATAAATCTGGCAAGTTTTTATGACAGCCACCATTTAAATGTTTATATTTCATATAATCTTCTTATTATAAAAATAAATAAAAGTGTAATTTAAGTGATTCATTCATTATTACCTTCATATTTGAATAAATCTGGCAAGTTTTTATGACAGCCACCATTTAAATGTTTATATTTCATATAATCTTCTTATTATAAAAATAAATAAAAGTGTAATTTAAGTGATTCATTCATTATTACCTTCCTATTAGGCCAATGAAGCCTAGTAGGCTACAACTAGTCTCCCATAGTTTACAGCATTAGTTAAGAGATTTAATTCCCTTGAGAAAAATTGCCATTTATTATAACTGATATCCAAAATAATCGATATTGAATCGAATCAAATCGTAATCGAAATAGAATCGAATCGAAAGCTTGTGAATCGAAATCGAATTGTGAAATTTGTCTCAATACCCGGCCCTAAAAAGCAATATTCGAATAGTAACTACAGCATTCGAATAGTATTGTTTTTTTAAATATTTGAATTATATTCTAATTTTGGAATTCGTTCCAACAGCCCTAGTATCTATGTTGTTTAGTGTCAGAGTTTGAGTGACACGGCATGGATAGTTGAGACGAATACACCAAATCACATGCCGCTTCAGTTTTCTCCTCAGCGGCATTTTGTTTGTTTACCCCAGAATCCAGACAAGATTTTTTTTTGGAGATAAACGAAACACACTGGAGCGTCCCGCTCTGTCGGATTGACGGTTAGACGGGTCATGTGACCGCAGTCAGAGGCCCTCGGCCGGTTAGACGGGTCATGTGACCGCAGTCAGAGGCCCGCAGCGACTCGCCAAAGGAAACTACTGCCACATTTACATCTCCTCACGATTCCCACCCCTAGTTATGATGAATATTGATTGCCATGTTGTGTGTGTGTGTCAGAGGAAGGCGAGGTGTTCATCTGGGACGTCCAGAGCAGTAAGTGTGTGAAGAGGTTTGAAGACGACGGTTGTGTGAGAGGAACATCACTAGCACTCTCTCGAGACGGCTCGTATCTGGCCTGTGGGTGAGTCTGAGTGTGTGTTTGACTCGTGTATGTGTGTGTGTGACCTGTGTGTGTGTGTTTGACCCGTGTGTGTGTGTGTGTGTGTTTGACCCGTGTGTGTGTGTGTCTGACCCATGTGTGTGTTCTTAGCTCTCAGGCCGGCGTGGTGAACATCTACTCTCAGCGGGACTGTCTGCTGGAGCACGAGCCGAAGCCGCTGAAGGCCGTCCTAAACCTGCTGACGCCGGCGACGTCTCTGAGATTCAACAGCAGCGCCGAGATCCTGGCCATCGGCTCGCGGCACGCGGATGAGGCCAACCGACTGGTGTGAATCACGTACACACACACTGACATTAGCTGCATCACAACTCCTTTCTTAAATATTAGCAAAAATCAAATTATATTCTAATTTAACGTCAATACGTCATGTTAAGGCCCGTACACACCTGGACGAATATCAGCGCGCGTTATTCGTCAGCGTTTTTCAACGCGTTTTTTGTGTTCACACCCAAGCGTTTTTCGCTGACGATGAGCCGAGTGAACATGCAAATTCATTCCCTGACATTAGATGGCGCTTAATGTAAAACAGAAATAATAATAGAATACTATACTAGGGTGATCATATTCATGTCTCAATGTTTTATTATGACAGATAAAAAAAACCCGAATGAAATAATGATAGAAATAATGTCTTCTGTATTAGAAAAATAAATATATAAATAATAAATATCTAAAAGAAATGCCTCCAAATGTAACAAAAAATAGCTCTCACAAACTTACAAAAACGAACTAACAAAATCTATTTATATCTTTAGTTTTCATTCTCTTTATCTTGTTTTTCTTCCTCGTCCACCTTGTTTGCCCATCTATATTTTGCTGTAGAACTGATCTTTCCCAGCAGTTTTTTTTTGTTGTTTTTTTTGAAAACCAGGACATTTTCATCACTTAACAGTCAGGACAGAATGTGGAAACAGGACATGTGTAACGCAAAGTTGAGATGTTGTCCAGAGATAAAAACATAGCAGTTGTCGGATGAACAGATGCACGAGAGACGAGAGTTGTCGTATTTCCCCGCGTTTAATAAAACCACTCAAACGTTACACTCGTCCTCATACATGGGGATCGAGCGAGGAAAAATAAATACAAACAAACATCTGGTCACAATAGAAAAATAAAATAAAAGAAAGAATACAAAGATTCGGCTGAGCGGTTCTCCTCTCCTCACTTGTCAAAATCTAACTGACACTACGCACACTATGCGCAGTTCTTATCTCAACTCAGATTTCTATAAAGCACAAAGTGACCGAGCAGTGCTGTACCTCTCCTGTCCACTAGAGGGCGGCGAGCGCAAGATAATCCACAGCCAGCGTCGCATCTGTTGAAATGAAATGTCATTCAGTTTTTAAAATGCATTCTCTTTTGAATCAATTATTCATAAATAAAATATAATTTAGGTATAGGTAAGAGGTATAAATTAGTAGGGATGTCCCAATCCGATACTCAGGATCGGTATCGGCTCCGATCCAGCCATTTTTGCGGGATCGGGTATCGATCAGACGAAGCAGATCCAAATCCGATATTGTGCGTATACTATTATGTTATTGTTAAGCCCCACAGAAGGCACAAAAACATTCTAAAGTACCATAACGTTTTCGTGCACTCTATTATAAGTGTTCTGAAGCCATTATGTGAGAGAGAAATTAATATTTAAGTCATTAAATTCAAGATCATGTAAACTTTTCCCTCTCGCGGCTGTCAGTCATTCTCCATTCAGCACTCAAACAGCGCGTCGCATTCGGTTACAGTAAATGATGAAACTATCTTCAAGATGATTCAATGTTAATACTATTATACTTTATCTGTAGATAAAGGTCTATGTTTACGCATAAAACAACATTATCTTGCTGGACTTTATTGCTGTAACTTAATCGTGTTACTTTCTACCAGGTGTCGGACGCTGTCGGTTAGATCACAACACTAGAGTCAGAGCACTATTGTTCTTCACGCGCACAGTAACTGAAATTTAAAACTGTTTAAAGAAAAGGCTCAATAAACTATTGTATAGATAGATACTGTTTAATACACTGTCCATCAATATGTATTTCCTTTGTGCTTTGAACTTTTCAAAGCGGACTCGACGCGCAGCGTGCATACCATAGGGTGCATACTCGGCTGCGTGCTGCTGTTACTCCACGTGGTTTCAAGCGCATCATTCTGCGCTCGGAATGCGCATAAGCGCTTTGTGCCGCACTGTGTTGGAGTCATTCATATCATAATGCAGTGACGCAATTAAAGCTTCTTAACATTAATAATTATTAATGTTGCTGCCTCATTAAATAGCTGTGCTATACACTTAAAACATGTCTCAATTTTTAGTAGCCTTGGCTAGCCTATATCTAAAGTAATTCTTTTTCATTTTTGTTATATTGTTTTTCATGAATGTATTTTACAACAATACAAAGAGCAATATGTATTATTCACTAATCTAGTTTATAATAGCATTTTTTGTCAGATTATGATCATATATTTTGGGGATTTGTTGTTTATCTTTATAATGAAGCTGTCTGTATTAAGTAGATTGTGTTTAACACACGCAAGAGTGATAATCAGTTTAACACACAGTTAGAGAAATTCTACTTGCTTTAAAAAAAACTGTGCTGGTATTTACAATGTAGAATACTGCTGTTTAAATTGTTTTAACTTTAAACCTGTTGGTAGCTAGCTAGCTTTAAATACTTAATACCTGCATTTTCGAATATATATATATATATATATATATATATATTAGGGGTGTAACGGTACACAAAAATCACGGTTCGGTACCTACCTCGGTTTTAAAGTCACGGTTCGGTACGTTTTCGATACAGCAAATAGAAAGGAATAACAGAGAAATTTCCTATTTGTTTAAAGAAAAAATATTTTTAAGTAAGTGTGAGTTTTCCTAGATCTTGAAACTTTCAGGTTTATAAATGGGTCATCTTTGAAGGATGAACAAATAATGTTTTGGTCATCACATTAAAAATAACATTTAAATATATATTTATTTATATAATATTTGAATTTTGAAGTGCTGGAAAAAGATGTGTGAAGTACTTGAAAGCATTTCACCATTCCAGCCAAACTGGTTCCAGTTAGTGTTACTACATTAAATCCATGGTGAATTGTACATTTAGTACAAAGTGTGGGTAGGCCTATGTGTAAAGCTGTTGACTTATGTTATTCATACAATACCACAAGAAAAAACAAAAATATTTAAAGTTGTAAATATATACTGTAGATACAATAACATGAACGCAAAATGCAATGTAAATAAATACAAGCAGTTCCTTACTTTATGGCTTTTTTTAACTGGAGTAACCATGTGATGGCAGCGTGCACATAATGACAGGCACGTAGGGTTATAAAAGATAACGTAAGAGTAAAAGATGCACGCGCGTGCACAACTATCACCCCTGCGCTGGGTGCGCCCCTTCCCCTTTAACCGAGGAGCTAATGCATCTGTGTAAAACACGCATAGGAAAAAAAGAACGACAGAAAGAACGGCTCCCCTCCAGCCGCGACTCGGCTCCCATCGTTCATGTTTATGAGCTGTTCAAAAGAATCGGTTCGTTCGCGAACGTCACAACTCTAGTCCGAACTGATAAACGATCCATGAAGCACATAACGAGCAGCGCAGTTTCGTTCTGCTTTCATTACGCTTGCCATTTGATGTTGCGCAACGTTGTGTTGGCCGCGTCAGCTCGAATTTTGCCGGCAGGAAAAATGGTCCAAGCAATCGTTCGGTTTGTATGCGTACCGAACCGGAAGCCTCGAACCGAAACGGTTCAATACGAATACATGTACCGTTACACCCCTAATATATATATATATATATATATATATATATATTGTAGTGTTTGAATAAAGGGTGGCAATCTTTCATAATCAACTGTTGTTGTGAACTATATACTGGAGGTATATTTTAAGGGGCTAATTGAGAAAATTGCTATATTTTTTATTAGGTTAAAAATAAAATAAAAATATCGGATTAATATCGGTATCGGCAAAAGCCAAATCTGCGGCATCGGTATCGGAAGTGAAAAAGTGGTATCGGGACATCCCTATAAATTAGGTTACAATAGTGCTTTCACACTCTCTCTCTAACACACACACTCACATTCTGAGCGCTTTCACACTCACATACACACACACACCCACATGCTGATCGCTTTCACACACACACACACACACACTCACATGCTGAGCGCTTGCACACTCACATGCTGAGCGCTTGCACACTCACATGCTGAGCGCTTGCACACTCACATGCTGAGCGCTTGCACACTCACATGCTGAGCGCTTGCACACTCACATGCTGAGCGCTTGCACACTCACACACACACACACACACACACACACACACACACTCTCTCTCACACACACACACACTCACATGCTGAGCGCTTTAAAACACACACTCATACACACTGATGCTAGGACTGGGCGGTATGACGGTGTATATATAATTACCGCGGTAGAAAATGTCAACCGTAACAGATTTGTTTTTGGTGGTGTTGTTGTTGGGGGAAGGCGCAGCCGTCACTAGAGCAGTGCGGCACCGTTTAGAGGATGAAGCTTACTGCACAACATATGATGAAGCTTACTGCACAACATATATCGATATCGTAACAAATAGAAATAACCTTAAATAATGTAGAGCAGGGTCTCCTTGTCCGGTAAATATTTCCATTGGCCTGGAAAAAAATTAATCTTAATAATTAATCTCTCAGTTGTGGGCCGTTCATCTAAAAGTTGATGAGGTGTTTTGTTTACTATATTTAGCTATCAAAATAGTTAAGCAAATAAAAATAATTTACCGAAATTAAATAATTAATCATTTACCAAATATAAGAAAAAGAAAAATCAAACAAGGTGAAGTACTTTTTTATTTCTAAAGGATTTGGGTTTATTTATTATACAAAGCCCTTTTTGTGGATTTTCTTTTGAGAATAACTATATATAAATAACTTTATCGTAGTGCTGGGCGGTTTGACAAATTGATATCACGTTTTTTTTTTTTCCTAATGAAGCCGTTTTTCCGGTTTATCACTTTTTTTTTTTTTTTTTTTTCATGCATAATCCGGTGTTCAAAGCATTTAATAAAATTGTTATTTCTTAATCGCGCACCTGGCCACACCACACGCTGCAAAAAATATAACTGCTATCTGCCACATAATGAAAAATCCCAACAAAAGCTCTCGTTTATACAGGCTTTATATTCTTCTTTACTCTCAAAGCTATGGGTTAACTTTCGTCCTGACAATCAAGGCGTTTTAAACAACACAA